GGAAAAACTTCTTTACTGGAAAAGTGGTCAAGCACTGGAAGTGGAGTCCCCATCCCTGGAGGTGTTCAATAAGTGTGTGGATGCCGCACTTCAGGACATGGTTTAATGGTCATGGGGGTGCTGGGTTGATGGTTGGACTTAATCTGAGGTCTCTTCCAGCTTTAATGATTCTGTGATTCTAATGTAACTACTTCAAGTACAGTATAGCAGTTCATCATACAGAGAGCAAATATTTATACTATTCATATGTGCTTGAAAGCATTTTATGTGTCCATACACACAACGAATGAAAAACTTTATAATTGCAATCTATATCTCTTTATTTATAAAAGGTACAGCAAAATATTAATTAATTAAATGCATACAGTAGCTGTTCATTTGTGGGAACTCCATTTTATTTTGCAGGTGCCATTGTGTGTCCATCAGTATGGCAATTAAATGGCTCTCATAATCCTTTTGTAAGGAAAAAGCCTTCAAATTTCTTGACCCACTGCAGAGTTGAGGTTCAGTAATTAGGATTCTGGAGGTAGAGATGATCTGGAGAAAGAGGAGTCCTATAAAAGAATACACTCACAAATACTGAAAGATTTTTACTTATAAAGGAAATTATTAAAAGATCTCTCTAAAATATTTGCAGCAACCCTTACTCTGCCCAGCTTTTCAATAGGTAGAAAATGAAAGTCACAACTCTGAGCCAGGTGTGAGAAACTGAATAGCTCTTCTTCTGTGGAAACTTCTGTTTCCACTTTGATTGTGCCCTTAAATTCCACTACTAGTATCTGCAGTCACTGCTCCTCTTGTCATTCAAATGCACACATGCAGTGGGCTGTCCAGTCATTCCCTGAATCTTCTGATCTGAGCTACTCACATATTTCTTACATCTAATCCAGTCTGGTCACTCTAACGTTAAACACAGACTAATGCTTTTCAGATTTAGCTGTATTTTAATTCAAGCAGGAATCAAACACGTATTAGACCACCCTGATTCCACATCAAGGTCTTCCAAATCTTCTTTTGATTTTATTATTTTCAAAAATCTTGGCTCATGCTTGCAGAGAACTGAGAACTTCAACAAGATTAATTACTCTGCAGTTTTCCAGTGCTGCAGTGGTTCTATGACATTTTCAAAGATTTAACACTAAATCCTCAGAGACACAGGTAAATATTATCAACTGTATTTTCAGATATGGAAATAAAGATACAGTGTCATTATTGTCCCGGATGATAACCCAGTTATCATTAACTGGGTTAACATTCTGGATCTTCTTTTTTTAAACCACTGGACCAGCCTTGCCCACTGTACCAACAGGCTCGGCTTGTTAGCCTTGTTCTGAATTTCAAGCATAAACTAGTACCAGATAAGCTTTTACTGCATGTATAAGACACGACACTGACATTTTTTCTCATTTAAACCTGTTAGACTTCCATACATCAAACAGTTTTCCCTCTTGTAGTTTGTACCTAGTAGCATCACTTCTCTGCAGCATTAAAAGGGAATTATAAACAAAACATCAGAGAAGGGAACTGTGATACAAAAAGATTAATGCACCTGAACAGAAATAGATTCACTTTTGTTCTCTCATCTAATTACCTGTTTGGTACTGCTCACAGGCAGAAAAAGTTTTTAAATATTAGAAAATTCTCAATGTCCTTCTTTCCTTGGTACTGCAGCAAAGTTATAAGGGTTCACTTATAACAACAGTGATAATTGCAGCAGAACATTGTGATGTTACTGAGGATGAGGAAAAGACTGAGAGAGAATGTCTACACAATGTATACTGAATACACTAGGCGATATCCTGAATTTTTTAGTCAACACTTAGGGAACAATCTTGAGGCACACCTTCTCTTTGTCCCATACAGTCACTTACACCAGAGCAAATGTGTATGTGAAATCATCCTGAATCACTACTAGCATCTTTCATATTTTCACTGGTATCAAAGATGGCATATGGCATAAGGCAATGGTGAATCAAGCCTCATAATCTTTAAAGGGAGTTTTGCCTCACAGAGTACTGCCAGACACTGAAACAGAACTCACAGATCTTGTTGAGTACAAATAACACGGAAGTACAGGTAAATGTAGAAATTTACAACTTGAGACTTGCTCATGGCATTTCTTCCTATACATTAGCTCATGGGTGTAAAAAAAAAGTTAAAATTAAACCTGTCCATATGTAAAACACATGGTGTGCAAGAATACTTCTGAACCAATGAATTATGTGCACTTCCGTGGCAACTGAGGTAGATTTTTTTCTTGTTCCAAATATGTTCCAGCATATACTTATTTAAGTTTTCAGCAATGTTAAACAAACTTGTATCTTCAGTCTATTTCAAGCCAGGCATTCTGGCTAACTCCTTGACTCAAGCAGTGCATTCTCTTCATCCCCAGGTTGCACAGGCTTGCTGTTTCCTCTTAAGGTTAAAAACGAGTATCTCAGTCCTCCTGCCATACTAAAGAAAAGAGAATAAACAGAGGTGTCAGAGATTCTAATGTATGTACCATTTTATAGGTACGTACCCTTCCTTCCAAAGGACTACAGAATGCCAGCTAGTATAAATTAAGAGTGTCTCAGAGGTATGTAAGCCATCTGAGAAACTAGCCCCAAGTAGACGAAGATTAACAGTTGATCCAACAGATTCATACAAACAGATGTAACAGTTCATCCAAGCACAAAAAGTAACAACTCACAAGTCGTAACTCACATTCAAAGGGCACAACTCATTCAGTCAGTGTTCTCACTTCCCACATGACCTGGCTTTTACTTGGAAGCCTCACAGCTCAGAACTGCTCCCCATAAAAAAAGAATGAACTCAATTCTACACAGTAAAACTGCAGGCATGTTTCCATAGGTAAGATCCTATCACAGTAAGATTCAATATCTGAAAACAGACATGAAAAGACATAACTAACTGCAATGAACTTCACATCCTAGGGCAGTGCTTCCTCAGGCCAGTGGTTTCAAAACAGCATCACCCAAGAGGGCCAAATCAAACACAACATAAAACTATATCTCACTGAGAAATTTTCAGCTTTAACAAATAAAGGCTATTCAAGTTCCACTCACCAAATATTAAGCCCTATAAAGTTTAACATAGAGAACATGTAATCTCCACCAATCAACATTCCAACGTAAGCGATGGATATATTCTGAAAGGAAACAAAAGCTATGCATTTATTGAAGTCAGTTTTCATCTCCAAGAACATAAATTATATAAATTAATATACTTTTCTAAGGAAATAGCCATACTCTGTTGCTGGCCACTTTAAAATCAGTGTTTAAGTTAGTCTCATGGGATGTAATAAATTCAGTATGTTTTCTGAATGCATACAATGCACTGAGGATGACTTTTTTAAATAAACAAACAAAATCAGCTATTTGATGTCAGGCAATATGGAGCTATGGCCATCCTGTGAAAATATACTTTTTAATCTTTGTAAGGGTCCTTTCAAGTCCCATTTATTAAAAGTAGGTTTTGAGTACTCAAGCCTAAAAAGTATGCTTTAAAGTTACAACAGAATTTCTTTATTATTGCATTAAAGGCGTTACCTCTTTAGTTTGCCAACTAAATGTGCATTGAAAGCATGTGGCTCAAGTTCAAGGCAGGCACAGTTTAAAGTTAAAGATTCTACCTCTCACCTCGCCTCCATCAAATTTTGGGAAAATTATCCCCTATAGACAGAAGGAAAGCTATAGAACTGTGTAATCATTTCACCAACACTTTGTTGGTTTCAAATGTTTTAGCAGCTAGCCTGGACAATGACATCATTTCTACCAGTTTCTACTGGGGACTACTGCACCATAAAGTGCTTCTCAACTTTAAAGCTGTTCAAAATGTCTCAAATTATTTCTCAGAAACAAGAAACAGTCTTGTTCTCTCTCAATGATTCAATGCGGACATATAAAATTTAAAAGAACGCTTTCAGGACCACAGGAATGAAAACTACTAGAGTAATCTTGCCAGCTTCCAAAAAAAATAATTGCAGAAAGTGAAGTACCATCTTCCTTTTGTGGATTTTGCTATGCTGGAGGTACTCTTTTCCTTAGTCACCCATGCAAGGGTGCACCCTGAGGACTGTTATTCCTGTGCCTAAGCTAGTTTGGATTCTGACAGTTGTTTGGTCCACAGCTGTACAAGTTTTATCTTTTTCTAAAACTCTTCCAGCTTACAGCTTCATGCTTCTCTCCAAACTGGCCTACAAAGAGGTGCTTGGGCAGTCAGTGATGTTTCCAGCTCAGACATGCTGGCCTTATCAACACAAAGGAAGCTGCACTGGTTTTAAGTTAAACTGGGTTAGAGAAAACAGACTGTAAGGACATCAAGTTCGGTTTTTAAGACATGCATGTTTTGGTGTTGATCAAACTGACCAGAATTTCTAGAGACCAAAATGAAACAGTCCATTCAGCTAGAACACAACATCTCACACAGAGGCTGAAGCATTTATCCATAAATAAATACACTCCTTACTACACAATAGCCATTATTCTGTACCTATGAATGCCCTATTTAATAGCAGCAATGGAAATTAGTTCAGCCCAGTGAAAGTGTGTTAGTCTGTAACAGTTTGCAATAGATTTGCACCAAGCCACCTTGCCTCACTCACATCAACCTGATAAAGAACAGAAGCAGGTAACAGTACCTGATGAAATGTGGTTAAATGTACATCTTTTAATTAAAGTGGTTCAAGTTTCTCTTGCAGGAAAAATAAAAATACATCAATATTGACATTGTTTTCAAGAGCACACCTGAGCTTCAATGGAAGAAAACAAGGTCACTCTGTAGTGTGACCTTGTTTGAAGCAAGCAGCATCTCAGTATTAGCTCTCATTTTGAGTTTCCAGATCAAAGCATAAACAGGATCACTGCTGAGTCAATGCTCTTCCCAGTCTATCTGAGCATTCTCATCTCCCTCTTCTGCTTTAAAACTCACCTTGATGGCACCAACTACTGTTGTTGTGAGCGCAGAATTGTAATGACTGCATAGGACAGTAGAATACATCAAGAGAAACCTAAAGTAAAGGAGAAAATGTTATACATTCTCCCCAGAGAGCTCAGACAGTTAGCAACACTTTGAAATGTTCAACATTTTCTGGATCAGTATTTTGCTGGGATCTTCAATTCCACCTGTTCCAAACCATAATAAAAAAGATTCTGTGCATCTGTATTTGAAGTTAATGATATGCACATCCAGAGTACTCAAAATACATGTTAAAATGTGCTGACTGAGCTCTAGCAGAGTCATTCCTACTCCCTGTGCTTCTTAAATGTAATCGAAGTGAGTTTGATCCCTTGGTTGGTGATGTCCGGAAGAGCACAACAGGACCTAACTCATTTTTCTATTCTTCTTTTGACTCTGCATTTCCAACAGGAACAAAGCATTGTCTCATTACTTTTGTGTCTCTCATACTTTTCCAGGTACTTTAAAGAACAAACGCACTGAAACAGTTCTACACTAAAGGGCTTACATTCTACTAACTGCAAAAAAGAAGTCAGATAATCAGAAGAGAGTACAGGAAATAAAAAGCTAAATGTCATGTTGTTGACCACTTTACTTGTGAGGTCAACAACACAGGTAGTACTTAAAAAGCTATTTATATTATTATAAGCAATTTAAAGACAAGGCAGAATCCTGGAGGGGGAAATGTATATTCTTTGAATTTTAACAAAACTTACAACTGAGTTGTACAACTGAGATTTGCAATTTGAAGCACTGTCAGTAAAACATCTTACTTGATTGCCCTGTGTCCTTACCCCAACAAGCAGGAAAGAAAAAACTGAAAGACAAATAAAAAATTTGTCCAGTGCTGAAAATGTGTTGCCTATTAAAAAAAAGAGATAATTACATGGTTAATATGAAAATGTGCAAAATCACAAAATACATTTGATTCATATTGTAATTATTAAACACTTACATTACCACTGGAAACAGTTTGGTGCATTTATGCATTTAAATTCAGAGACAACAGGATGACAGCACCCATGATACCTAGACCCATTCTTGGAACACGTATAGCAGCACAGACATAAAACTGCACACTGCAAGCAATGAATATACGTACAAATATAGAGAAGTTGTGCTTTATATTTATTGATACAGATACCAACACTGGGATTAATATTGTATAATAAATAGTGTTGATAGAGAGAAAAAGCAAATAAATAAATAAATAAATAATCTTGAAATCTACGTCATAACCATAGTTTCATTCACAAAGAGCTTTCAAGGCCCAAGCCTGCAATTTTGAGCTCAAAAGCGCAGCAAACAAACACACAGTGCCACGCAACAGTCACTAAGAAACAAGTCACAGATTCTTTTCCATCTCTGTATCTCCAGGGTATGCCTCATATTAATCTGGTTAGTTTAAAGTCACCTGTATCAGCACAAAACTCAACAAAGGCTGAACACATCCCTGAGAAGCAGGATAAAGGCTGTAGGTCCATGCTGAACTGCGGCTAGCTGAGCCTCCACCACCTGAGGCAACAGATGAGTGGGATCTTGGGCAGCTCTGCCTTGCTAGAACTGTGCTGGTGTGCAGCAACAAACTGCAAAGTATTGACATTCTAGGGCTTCCTTGCTCTTCCACTGCATCATGTTTTCCTGTTCTCCTAGTCAGCCAGCAGGTGAAGGAAAAGTGAGTAACTGGGACACTCTCAAATTGTAGTCTCTACAGGATTTGGTAGGTATCTCTCGAGAACTAGGAAAAGGAGCAGAAGCAAACTCCCTATCACATAGACAGGGTACTGATATTTTGACTGGCAAAAGACACATGCTGTCCACTGTTTGTGATGGATCAAGGCAAAAAGCTCTACTAGGGTAAAAGCAAGCCACTTCAATGGCCTGAAACTCTCCTGAATTGGTGTTATCCACAATGATTTGTTGATTTTATGTATTTTTCCATTTGCTCCATTTTTCTGTGATTTAATCTCTATGCAACACATTGACACTAGTTATCCGTATCATTTAATGTGAGTTTTAATATTAAGTGACCAAACCAAGGTGTATGCACAACAGGCAGTGTGCATTTCTCTAATATTTATTCTTTTCAGGTAATTGAACATTAAATTGTACCAAAATCAAAATGTGGGCACGACAGAGTCCCATGGAAATAAACCTAGCAACAAGGTAAACTTCCCTGTTGATTTCTTCCAAAATGCTTCCAGCCCTGCCTGCTGGGAAAGCAGTTGAAACCTCACAGCCATACAAACTTGGCCTTTACTCAGTCTACCAAGATGGGCATCAGCTGCACTTTCCTAAACTGGCACAAAGTCATGCTGGAGTGACACCACAAGAAGAAATTTCACACTCAGAGCAGATCTAAATCCATCATTTTTCAGGGAATGACAATTTTTCCACTTGAAGCAGACTTATAAGAACACAATGACAAAATCATGTGAGTTCAGGGCACAACAACATACAACAAAGGATGCTGGAATGATTTATGACACCCTGAAGCTCTGTAACAATTTTCAGTGGCAAATCTCAAACATTTCCAAAAAGGAAAATGAGTCTCTAGATGCATTTTACTGGTAAGAAAAAGGCAACTCAGCAAGTCTGTGAGGGAGCCATAAAAACAACACAAACCTCCTGGTCTGCTACTTTACGTGCCAGGACATACTGCCTATGGTACACTGTATTATGATTAGCTATGTAGAGTCATGCTGTTGTTCTACGAGAACATAAAATGTGGGTTACTAAACTAGACTGAGACTAAACAGGAATCTGTTAAGTGCATCAGAATGAGAGAAGGACTGAAAATTGTCTGGTTTTGGTATTTGCAATTTCATTTTAGAGCACATGGTAAATCACACAGTACAGCTGGATTGCCAACTAATTGCTTTAGCTGAGAATCCCCAGTCATACATTAGTTCTTAAACAAGGATTCATATAAGGGCTATCACACAAATTCATCTTCCACTTAAAGTGAATAATTACAAGTTCTTATTGGTGAAGTCCAAGTCACATATTTCAAATACTAGTCACTAACACGGAGGTAGGATTACCTCTTCAAAAACAACCAACCAAAAAAATCACCCACCCCAAAACTGAAAAAAAATGATCAAAATACCATTATCAGTTTGAGATGTGCAATATTGCTCCCTACCTGCTGGAAGTCTCCAGTAGAAAAGCTAATAATAACTGTTGGAACCACCATGAAACAGGCATTATAGAAAAGGACACCGTATTTTCCCAACTCCTGTGAAAAATGAAACACAGTGTTTGGAATTCCAAGCCATTTGGGAGCAAAATACTAAATACTACACTGACAGTGCTTTTGACATTATTGTCAATGTGCAGTCAGAACATAATACACTTCAATTTAATACAGATGCTTGCAATTTTTGGATTCAGTGCTTAGTACAGAGCTGAGTTTCCACTGCAGTCACATTGTCTATATGCTCAGCAGAGTATCACTGTTCTTCTATACCTTAACATGTTTCTATATAACACCAGCTAGTCAGAAACTTCCCAAGGCACTGGAAGAAACTGCTTTGTGTTCCGACTCCGCAGAAGTCTCTGCCTGGCCAAGGAATTACCTATTCCACCTATGGCAAAGCAACCACAAAAGCACAGGGCAGGGTTGCTGCATGGCATGGCCAGTATAACATGAAAATTAATGAAGCCTGACTCCTAGATGGAGCATCTTCAATCACTGGTAACTGATGGAACTTCAAGCAACTTGAGCAATGTCATATATGCTGTCGGTTAACTTGCTTGACACAAAGGCAGAAGGCTAGGGGGATGAAAAAGCAGTCTTCCCTTCCTCCAGGTTCAGCCATGCTACTTAGCAAATCTCTCCAGATTATCTCTTGTTTTAAAATGAAACCCTGTATTTTGCAGAAAACTGTGAGGTCGTTAAGTGCTGCTCATAAAGAAAAAGAGTCTGGATTTGATGTAACCCCTGAGATTATTAAAGGATATATACTTCCACTGCACAGATTGACTCACAAAAATCAGTGATACAATCTCTACCCAGCATCTCCAAGATTGCTCTTTGCTATGGCTTGCTATGTTTTCATGGCACTGTTTTTGAAGAGCAGCCTGCTCAATGTTTACATAACCTATAATATACCAAGGTATTGCCTAATTCTTTGGCCTGCCTGGGTTTGGCGTAGACTTGCTTTCAGATAGCCAAATAAGATACCAGTTGTTGTGATTACTGACTCAAACCGGACAAGTCTCTGCTCCTACCCACAAGTTTATTTTACATAAACCTCACTTGAAAGTGTATTGCTAGTTTTTTTTAGCCAAAAGCAATGTTTTAAAGCCACCACAAACTCTGCCTAAATGACTTAGAATATAAAATGCACTGTTTATCTAAGCCTGGCCTGAGATACTAATAACACCTTTTCCCAGGTTGTTCTATATTAAGTATGCGTATATCAACTTAAATATGAAATCAAATGAAACTGTTTATTAGTTCATAACTGTATGTTCATAAACTCATATAATAAGTAACCCACTGTTAGCATCTTGTCATAATGTTAAATTCAACCCAATCATCCCACAGTTACCTTTGGATCGATTTTCTGCTTTGTGTAAACTCCATTTGCTGCTGTGAAGATATCATTTAGCAGTACAAAGGTGTAGCCTTCCAGACTAAAAGACAGATCAGACCTGGGAAAGAAGTATTTTACTGTAAATAAACAACCAGTATACAATGCATTGTACCTTGTTTACCTAGAGAAGTATCATAAATGAGGAAATGCAAATCCTGAGTCACAGGTTTTGCTTTAAGCCTTTTTCTGTAAGTCAAGGTACTCTACATTTCTCCAGTCACAGGACTATCACAAGTGATTCACCAGAAAGTTCCCAGAACTCAGTGCAGAAGTGGCTGAAATGCTCAGCTTTCATTCTGTGAAAAATTCCATCTTCCTCAATCCTGACAGCCTGTCCAATTATTACTGAGTATAATTATCTGTTTCTTTTAACACAAAAAGCAGCTAGGGAATAAAGTCTGACTACTTCTTTTTTTGCAGTCAAATAAGACATATTGTCATCCTTTCTGTTTTGGCTAGTTACCTCATGGATATAGGGTAATTCATGTAATAGGGCATGGCACTACCTGAGTCACATCACATGGAAATTATTTACCTTTGCATATAGCAAAGCCAAGAAAAAAAAAATAACATTACATTTCCAGTTAGGTAAAGGAATATTCAAACAGGACGAAAACAGAGGAGACTAGCATTCAAGTGCTTTGAGAACTTAATCTCATATTTGAACTTGTTCAAAGTGAGTAAAAAAACAGACATTGCCTAACTCAAAACAGTATTTGAGAACCGAAAGATCAGTTTTCCTATCCAGAATAAGAATATATTTTTTCTAAGATTATTAAAATAGACTGATATAATGAAATAAAAGCAGGAGTTTTAACTTGCTTCATTTATGATCCTGAAAACATGGAAAACCTGGGGGCAAAGGGGGAAAGAAGCACACAAATACTTCCAGCTGGAGTTAAATTTTTCTCTTTGTATTACTGTATCTCCCAATGACAGCAGTAGAGAGATTTTTCAAATCAAGTTAATCCAAAGTAACTAATCTCAGGTTTAATTGGCACTTAACAAGGAAAAAATCCTCCTGTAGTCCCTCATCTCATAACGTGACCTTGTATAACAAATTAAAACCTTACCCAGCTGCTATGAAAGCCCCAAGAATGATCGCAAATACGCTGACTATAATACTCTGTGGGTATCGTTTCCTGTAGAGAAAAATTAGACAGTTCCCATTTTCATTACTTGAAGAGGAGATGAAAAGGCCATCTGTCTGAAAAGTTTCAAACCAGTTAGTAATCACAGAACAGGAGGGTTCAGTCTTGATAACCTTACAGAAGCAATGTGGTTGACCATGAGCCACACTATCAGACTTTGGCCCTGAGAAGAGAGATTGAAAACGCATTGTAAGCATTCCGCTACTAGATAATTTTAAAAGTAAAGATAAAAGGTTTAAAGTAACAGTGCTGGAACAAACTGTAATCTACTGTGTATTGGCACTGATAAAGGACATATTTCAGTGTCTTCTAGTAAAGGAAAACCCATTGAATCAATAGGCTGAGGCCAACTGTATGAGCTTCAACAAGGCCAAGTGCAGGGTCCAGCATTTTGGTCACAATAACCCCATGCAGTGCTACA